TTTTTTCTTTTTATTGATGTGAGTCTTAATTTACTTCACATCCAGATGGGAGTATGTTTTCCTAGCAGTTGTAGGAACTTCTTCTATGCTGCATTTCCAGTAGAGGTGGCATGCAGAAACCACTCAATGCCCTGCAGAAACAATCTTGAAATAAGTAAACATTTCTTAAATTAAGGGTATTTACCCTTAATTTAAGTAGGTAAATGAGTTGATTTGCCAATGAAATTAGCATTTTTAGCCTTAAAATTACATAATTTGATAATATGCACTTGAAATAAGGCAATGCAATATTTTTGTTTATTTTAAATATACATTTTCTTGTTCCATTGGCAAAGTGTCTCACTTACAAATCAAATTAAATTAAATAAAACTAAATAGAATTAAAAATGCACTTATTTTAAGAAAGAAATAACTTATTTAGACTTAAATTTTTTTGCAGTGTAGTGTAAGCAGGAGTTACTGTTGTGATTTTTTTTTATGAACCATCTTGTCTGGATATTGAATATTTAAAAAATTAAACATATCATAAGTAGCATGAATGTAATGATTTTCTTTTTGTAGAACTTTAAAGCCAAGTTTTCCTTTTCTGCAGGTTGCAACAGCAAATTTAGCCTGGGCATCTGTTGCCATTCATCAAGTACAGGTAGGCAAGCTTTCACAAAGGTCTGGTCTGATTTTAAACTAGTCCCTTCTAACAGATATGATGCACTGCTGGGCTTCGTCTGAGCCTCTGGCAACAAGGTGTACCCTTCCATTTATTATGCTTGTGGATGACATTGTTTGTTCTGGTTCTGCACTGGGGAAATCCACTGTGTACAGGAACGGGTTGTCACTGTGCCCAGTCCAATCAACAAGACCATACATTCAACAAACTGCTCCCCTGAGACGTCATTATGTTTTATGATAAAGATAACATAGTACCCCAGAGGAGTGGTGTCCCACTGCAGCTCTGGCCACAGTGGACCTCTGAGCTTTGGTTAGCGGGGAAGAAGCTCCTGCTTAGACAATCTGTTGTTACAGAACAATGGCCCGTTGGCGTGTTTGCAGACCGAGGGCTGCTTCACTGACATAACCCACTGGATGCTGCATGTATTTTGAGAACAAAACTTCTTTATACATTTGTGTATCTGATCCTGACCTATTTTTTCTTTCTTAGATGTGCAGAGGCCTTGCCAAACAGACTGAGCTTAATGACTTCCTACTAGATGTGTCAAAGTAAGAGCTGCTCTGTGATCTGCTTCTGTAGCTTTCAATGAAAGCTAATGAAAAGAGGCAGACTTTGTGTTTATACCACATTCCTGAAATGTTAATTTGCTCTGAATTGCTGCAGTTTTTTAACTGCATTTATGACAGTGCATGTCCTAAACAAACATACTGGTTGTGTTAACACCATCTGAAAGTGATTTTTTTTTTTTTTACAGACTTACAGTCTTCTGCTGTAGTATTTATACCCCTCCTTTCCATGTTTTGTCACAATAAAACCGCTCACTTGTATATGCTGTGTATTTTTAGGGGCGGGACTTTGTAGTACAGATGAACACAAAGTGGTCCGTAATGGGGCTGGGACAAGAAAAATGATACATGGCATCCTAAATACTAAAAAAAGGTTTCTTTGCAAATAATATTTAAAAAAAAATCTGAACAGTGTGCATTTATTTTTTGCTCCAATAACTTTATCTTATCATATTTTCTGATTAGATTTTGTTCTGGACTTTGACTAGCATATAAATAGTGATATACCTTGAAACATTTCACTTAGGTACCTTCCTGCTGAAGGTGAATCTTTAACTTTGTCCGAGTCCATTGTTGCCTCTAAAATCTTTATTCTAGGTTTGGACTGTATTCAATTCTTCTAATAACCCTTGAACACTGAAGTACAGCAGAAACGGATTCCCTCAGCATGATACTGCCACTAGCAACATTTAACTTCAGGTTGGATTATTTTAGGGGGAAAGTAGACCAAAAGTTGTATTTGGGTGTCATGTGATCAGAGCAACCAAATGTAGTGTTCCATCCTCTATGTGACTTATTGCAGAATAAAAAGAGGATTTCTTTCATGCATTTTTTATTTTTACAATTTTTCTATCCAGAGCTTCTTGCAAGGTCAAGGGGTGGGGTGCCTCCTGAAGGGGTCTCCTGTGTTTTGGCCAGATTCACTTAGAGCACAATACTCTTAACTGAGCTGTGGATCTCTGCAGCTCCTCCAGAGTTCTCAGTGGCCTCTAGTCTGCTTCTATGAGTAGCACTTTATTAGCCTGGCTAGTCAGTTTTGGGTAGGTCTGCCTTACTACCTGATTTAAACTTATATCGACTGTGCTCCTTGGTCTTCCTAATGCTCTCTGTTTATCAGAGGTTATCAATTAGGTTACTTCAACAGAAAATAGGTTTGGCACATATAGATTTAGGATTGTTGGGGTAATGGGGGCTGAACACAAATTTTCCTCCCGCAAAAAAATAATGCACTACTTTGTTTTGGTGTGTAGTATGAAATCCAAATAAAACATTTTAAAAATTGTGGTTTTAAGGTGACAAAATGGGCTTTAGGTGACATAAATCACCCTTAATAGAACATAATATGCTTGTAAATGGATTCTGTAGCGCAGGTTTAATGTTAATGTCACCAGATCTTTATTTTAGTTCAAGCATCTCAATGTGATTTTGTTTTTTGTTTTTTTACACAGAACATACTTTGATAACATTGTGGCAATAGATTCTCTACTTGAACACATTATGGTGAGTGAGTGTGATTCCTGCTCTTCTCAGCTATTCAAGAAAAATCATAGCGGCTAATTTACAGCATCTATTAACAGTTTTCTGATTAAACTTTTTATAATTTAGAGACACTTAGTCGTAATGTAAAAAATTGCTTTCTCACCAAGTATAAAATACTTTTTCGTTTTTTGACTCTTTTACTAAAGCCTTAGCTGGTTAGAGATGTTTCTATTGTGGCTACAGGTTTAAACTGTAAAACAGACTGGGGTCAACTTTAAATAATCTGTTTGTATATTTTTTTGCCCGAATGGTTTAAACAGTAGTGAGATAGTGGCCGCATTTAAGATGAGGATTGCTTAGAAGTCTGTGCAGCTATACAATCCTCTGCCCCTTCTTTTGTTTTACAGATATATGCAAAAAACCTGGTGAACGCAGACAGGTGTGCGCTCTTCCAGGTAGATCACAACAACAAAGAACTGTACTCTGACCTGTTTGACATCGGGGAAGAGAAAGAAGGCAAACCCGTGTTTAGGAAAACAAAAGAAATAAGGTTTGACATTTTCTTTCTCTCTAAGCTCCTTCTATTTAACCCTGCAGGGACTTTTTTTTTTTTACATATCTACAATGTTCTTACAGAAGAGAGATTCTTGTACTTAAATCTGATGAGATTATTGTGGTAAAAACAACTGAGAGAAAAGAAATTGGAGATAACACATATAATCACTTGCAAAAATACCACAGACTTGAATGCATCTTGGCCAGATTTCTAGTTATAGGGCAATATTAAGTAGTAAATCATTATGAAATGAAGAAATGTAATGCATGGCTCTAAAAATATCCAGCAGCATTTGTATTGCAGATACTTAGAAACCCATAGATAAAATGCAGTGTAACTTATATGGGTCTCAAAGTTCACTTTTTTAATAAATAAATCCAGCTGTCTCTTAAGGCTTTAGAAGTCTTTTATAGAACATTGGTGAAATTTCAATATGAAGACCAAGGAACACAGCTCACTGGACAGGGATAAGGATGTGAATAAGGTTTAAGCATGGTAAGGGTGTAAAAACAAGATTTCAAGCTTTTAAAAAAAAACAGGAACACTGTTCAGTCCATTATTCAAACACAGCTGTAAACCTATCAGGGCTGTTCATCAGCAGCCTAGAGGCCTATGGCAATAACAGAGGAGCAGCATAGATCTACTGCTCATGTGGAGAATCTGACGTCATGGTAACTATTGGCTATGGACTTCAAAAAATGGCACGATGGAGGGTGTAATTGAATCATTATTTGCACCTTGAAAGACTAAAATCAGCCACCCCAAAAAAAGAAAAACAGGATGGTGATGCTAAAACTAGTGTTTCACCGGGGGCCTGATCCAGTACCAAAACGGTGGTATCGGTATGTGCGAGTACCAACAAATAGGGCACCGAATCCATTTTGAGAGCCAAATGTTTATTAATATTGTCACCCATTCCAGGTAGGGAATAAAAAGTTCTGCTGGATTCACTTTGTATTTGTCTTTTTCTTGCTTCATAAAGGTAGGCAGCAGCTTGACAAAGCCATGATGGCAATTATTTTACATCCGTGTAGTATGCAGTTCTTCATATATACACACATCAATTTCAAACAGATGGTATCGGAATGGTATCGGTATCGGCCAATACTGCACAGCCAGGCATCAGGTGTCGATATTGAGGCCAAAAACTGGCATCGGCGCAACACTAGCTGAAAAACATTCAGGGATCTAAAGAGATTGATTCAAAACATCCTCATTTATTAGAACGGTCTAGTCAAAGTTAAGTCCACCAGTGCCTTTGGATGCACACTCACACTTTTCAGATTACAGAAGTGTAATAAACAATGTAATACATATTCTTTTTCTTCCTTTTTACAGTTATGTGGTATGTGTTTATCTGTCACATGAAAAATACAGTGACAGATGTGGTCATAATAGAACCAAATTTTAAAATGGTGTAAGGAGTGTCTAAATAACACCTGGTTTACAGTTTACACATAGCCCTGCTCATACATGGCTCTCTACCATAATCATTATGCTCTAAGTGTTTCATGTGAATTTTATTTATTTAGCCTGTCTCTCCCCTCCTGTGACTCTGTAGGTTTTCTATAGACAAAGGAATAGCTGGCCAAGTAGCTCGGACAGGAGAAGTTTTAAATATCCCAGATGCCTATGCAGACCCACGGTTCAACCGGTAAGTTCTTTCTTCATCTTTGTACTATATAAATATTATAAAAAAATATATATAGTTCTGCAAAAACAATTGTCTCATACGCAAGGCTCTAAGTAACGAGAAGATGACGTTTAAACTGATGTCTTCTCTTCGTGTGTTCTCTGATAGAGAGGTAGACCTCAAAACTGGCTACACCACGCGGAACATCCTGTGCATGCCCATTGTGAGCAGAGGGAATGTTATCGGTGTGGTGCAGATGGTGAACAAGCTAAGCGGAAGTGCCTTCACTAAAACCGATGAGAACAACTTTAAGATGTTTGCTGTCTTTTGTGCTTTGGCCTTACACTGTGCAAATGTGAGTACCCCACACAAACCTAAGGGTGTTTGATGGACAAACTGATGCTCTCTCTGATGCTATTCATTTTCTATCAAACTTCAGCGTAATGCCATCTTCATCATCCTCATCATATGTTTCAATGCTTGTTGCAGCTCACAAGCTACTGTGGACATGAAATATAAATTTTCTTCTCTGTGGTGTCCATTACTTCAAAATATGATTAAAAAGTGTCAATCATCTCTTTCATGAATCATGTTAAACTCCCAACACTAGCATTGTGTGGTCTGTCTGTCAGGGGCCCTCTCTGTGGCACCCGAGTCGCCGTCAGCTCTGTCAGAAATGCTTACGCAGGAGGAGGCGTCACAAAGTTGTGTTTTAAATCGATGCGGGATTTTAATATTTTATGACGAGCGCTCTCACATCCGTCCAGTGACAGGATTTATGTTGGGTTGCGATTTATGCCCCACATCTCTTGGAAATGTAACTTTGGCTGACTCCCGATTCGCAGTGATTTACGGGGGGGCCCGGCGCGAGGTCCCCGGCGCCTGTACCTGGCCGTTTTCTCTGCCGTTTGTCTGCGCAGTGGACAGGGACAGAAACCAGATGTGGAGGGAGGCAGAGAGAAAAGCCCACTTTTAGTGTAATTGCAGTAGTGACGCATGAAGAGTTTAGTATCATGTTCAGGATTTCTGGTTTTAAAGAACCATTCTCTCTCTGTGGTTTCCCTGCTGTCACTCTGCAGATGTACCACAGGATCCGGCACTCTGAATGCATCTACAGAGTGACGATGGAAAAGCTGTCGTATCACAGCATCTGCACGTCAGAGGAGTGGAAGACCCTCACCCAGCTCAACCTTCCTGAACCCATTTACAAAGAAATTGAAACGTGAGTGCCCCGTTCTCTGCCTGTGCTAAAATACAGCGCCTTCCAAATGTCCTTCCACCTTTTAAACTTTTCTGCCTTTTTTGTCAAGTCGCAGACGTAGCTTTCATATAAAGTCCAAATTCATGCAGGCTTTGTATGAAACTACAAGCTGAGGTAGAGCATAATTCTGAACATAATTGCATTATTTCAAATATTTCTGAAACTATCTGAAAAGTGTGGCATGCGTCAACAGGTCTTCTTGTTTAGACATGGAAATTGTTGCACAAGTTAAAGCATGGTAGGATTCCATGTGAACTGAAATCTTGCAAGATGCCAGATTGCCAGTAGAATTTAGTGCTGGACTTTGACTAGGACTTTCTCACACAGAGATTTATTTAAACCATTTTATTAAAGCTCATTTCCTTCCCCTTGCTGAATAAGAGTATCTCCCACAGCATGATGCTGCCACTGCCGTATTTTAAAATAATAAATTAGTGTATTGCATGAGTAAAACTTGACAAAGCCTTCCATCTGAGCTGTGGATCACTGCTCTAAGTTAATTATAAGGGCCTATTGACACCTTATCTGATTAATGTTCCTTTTCAACCCATCAAATCCCAGAATATTGTTTTCAGACCCAAGTCTGCTTTAAAGCTTTTTCACAACTTTATACCTGATTTCTCCGCCATGTTATTTTGTTCCGGTGTTATTCAAATTCTGTGTCTACGCCATACCTTTTTGGACAAAGCAATTTGAAAGTTTGCACAATGATACTTTTATGTCTTTCTCCAGGTTTCAATTTGACATTAGTCCGTTTGAAGATATCTGGCCTGCTGTCTTCATCTACATGGTTCATAACTCCTGTGGAAAAAACAGGTAATGTCACAGAAGCAGGAAGATAATTCTCTCAGCTTCTCACTTTATTCATTGTTTGTTCTTTATTTAGCTTTGAGCTGGAAAAGCTCTGTAGATTCACCATGTCCGTACGGAAAAACTACCGCCGTGTGCCCTACCACAACTGGAAGCATGCGGTGACGGTGGCGCACTGCATGTACGCCATCCTACAGAAAACCACTGGGATTTTTACCGAGCTAGAGGTTTGCTTCTTGTTTCGTTTAAGATTGATCTTCAGTTTTAGCCAATTCTGTTTTTTCGTTTCCAATGAGCATCTTTGTTTTGCAGAAGAAAGGTTTGTTGATAGCCTGTCTGTGTCACGATCTGGATCATCGGGGGTACAGCAACGCATACCTGCAGAAGTTCGACCATCCATTGGCTGCTCTGTATTCCACTTCCACCATGGAGCAGCACCACTTCTCCCAGACTGTCTCCATCCTGCAGGTAGAGCTCCACTACTAAAGACTTGGGGAACTTTAAATATTTTCATTATGAATGTATTTAGAGTAGTGCTGATACATTAAGCCTCAGATTCTGTTTAATCTGGAAGCTGTTTTAGCAATACAAGTATTGCCCAATAGAGACAAGCAACCATTTCCTCGTATCTACTTCTCAAATTATAAAGATCAGCTCATACCTGCTTTACATGAATGGCTGCTACCAGATAGTGGCCAAGAGAAATGGGGTTTTATTTAACACCGTAATTATACTCCAGGAAAGCAGGAAATTTGATTTAATTTAGTAGAAAAATTATTGAAATAAAATGAAACAAGTATAAATTTATTAAATTCTGTTCTTAGATTAAATATTTCAATACTTTTAGCATGAAAGAGGCTGCATGATGCAGACGATTCCAATTCCAATATCACTGAAGCATTTAAGCACGAATTCAGAAGAAGCAAAGAGGTCCATGAATTTTGCATGTATTTTACACAACATGTTTATGTGTGCATGCATATGTCTGCACTTACAGCTGTGCCTGAAAGTTCTTATATCCTTTAATTAAAGAAGATTTAAAATAGACAGAAAAAGATCAGCTGCCAGTAAAATAAATTGAAAATGATGAAACAAATTGTATATATTGCTCCAGCTTACAGTGTTGTTGTGTCCTTGGGCAAGACACTTCCCTGCATTGCCTCCTGATTGTGGCCTTTTTATTTTTTTTTTACACACAGAATTTTTAAATTAAAATTAAATATCAATATTTTATATTAGTTAATTCTAATTTTGTAAATTTTTATTAATTATCACTTTTTTCAGTGTTAAGTTATATGAATTACTAGTGTGAATTAATAATTTTTTTAATGGGAGGGTATGTAAACTTTTAAGCACAATTAGAACTGTACTTTTCAGCTCTGTAATATCTCTTATTTGCTGGTTGTGGTTTAGGTGAACCGATTATTGAGACCTGTTGCAGTCTAGTGGAGCTGAACGCCTCATAAGTGGAGCTTTTGCTTTTTTATTGATCTCTCTGTTTTTCATAGCTGGAAGGGCACAATATTTTCTCCAACCTGAATTCCAGCGAGTACGAGCAGGTGCTGGAGATCATCCGGAAGGCCATCATTGCCACCGACCTGGCCCTGTACTTCAACAACCATCAGCAGCTCACAGAGCTCCTGACCACAGGCGGCCTGGACCTGAATAACCACACCCACAGGTCAGGCTGCGAATCACAGCAACACACCAGAAAAGTGTCCAAATGGCGCTTTAGGTTTTTTAAATTATTTTTATCTTCTCCATGGACATAACAAGGCTCTGCTCCCCTTCAGGGACCGTGTGATTGGTCTGATGATGACAGCATGTGACCTGTGTTCTGTTACCAAGCGGTGGCAAGTCACACGACTCACAGCTAACGACATCTATGCTGAGTTCTGGGCTGAGGTACAGTGGGATACTGTTTGAGCTCAAAAAGGTTCAGTGTCACGATCATGCCTCCAGATTGAACAGTCAGGCCTCTATTCTTGCTTGTAAATACTGCTTTAACTTTGCATGTCCTACAACCCCGATCACCTAAAATAGAGCTGTCAGGTGGTCAGGAGGTTTACCCCACTATGCACAAAATAAAAGGTGTCTTGTTGTTTTGTTCCTCTGCAGGGAGATGAAATGAAGAAGATCGGAATTCAGCCGATCCCTATGATGGACAGAGACAAGAAGGATGAGGTTCCCCAGGGCCAAGTAAGACCAGCACAGAATATGTGTGGTTTGTATGCCACACACACACACACACACACACACAGACATGCATGCTCTGATGGGAACTTAGTCTGTAAACAGACTGTAGAGAGAGAAAAGCATAAATGGTGAGAGCCAGAACAGGATTAACTTACTATTTTAAGAAAATAGTTGCAGACCATATTTGAATTTAGGTTGCAATTAAACAAATATTTTAAACAGGAATAGTTTTAAAGTTTTCTAAAATGAATAATCACGGAAGAAAACTTCTAAAACTAAGACGCTCCAAAACAAACTATTGCTATCACTACAACATAAACTGTAGATTTGTTTCCTGTTGCTGAGATTGTTTACAATCCTAGGTGTACAGTAAATAAAGTAGCTCAGTTGTAAAGGAGGAATTATGCTGGAGGCTTAAACTCTCATTCATCATTATATGCAGAAATTCCTTTTTAAAGAACCAATGTGATTGGCTGGCACAATGACCTTTGAACCTGAGGTAAAAAAGAAATAGACAAAAACCTTTTATAGTAGCTCTAACTAGTGGTTTTTGTATATTAATCACTCTATTCATACGAATATGGATGCATCAATGAGATGGTTTGCGATTAGTCAGCAATGCCACCATTACATACACTCACATTGCTCTTTTTTGCACACTGGTGAGACGACACATTTGTTTATCGCACAAATATCAACACAATATCAACCTTTCCCATAAAATTTTTTTTGTTCCTTAACAATGAAACAAATTTAAGGTGCTTTTCCTTTTTTGTCCCCTTTTGAAAGGTGGGATTCTACAACTCAGTGGCAATTCCTTGCTACACAACACTTTCAGAGCTTTTCCCTCCATCCGGTCCCCTCTTAAAAGCCTGCAAGTAAGTTTTGCTTTGCTTTTGCTTTTTATGAGCAACGTTTGATGTAGTGAACTAATTTAGAAATTAGATTATTTAAAAAAGCTACGGTCCAGACCTTGAATTAATCAATTTTGGTCTTAGAGAAAACAGCCAGGGTTTGAACAGATGCAATCAATCCATCAAATTAGATCAAAGTTGTGAAGGAGTGTGTTTAAAAATGCACATTGCTAGTGCTCTATGGGAGGCACAGTATGTCAGCTTCTTTTTTTAAGCATCATACCTTTTTTTTTTTAAATCACATATGAAAAGGAGAACACAAAAGTAAAGCTGTCATTCCTCCTGCAGTGATGCATTGACTTCAGGTGCTAGAGGACGTATTTATGGCTGTTATTACTGCTTTTTAAACAGCTTTTTGTTGCACCTTTGCTCGCCCTTCTGCTGCTCTTTTAAAATGTGTCCTTGATCTGCGGGGAATGCAAACAAACCGAGCAGTGTAATGTTTAAGCCCCAGCTGTACGTCAGCACCCGGCTCTGGGTGGGCAGCAGGCCTAGACCCCACGGAGCCCTGCAGCTCATGGTGGGATCTGCCAAAGTCGTGCAAACTGCATCAGGCTGGCTAATTGAAGGTGATAGCAGTGAAGTTCAGCTGTGTTGCTGCACTCGTACGTCAGTATGTTGTAGTCCATACACTTTCTGATGCTTTTCTTCACCAATGTTTTCCTAAAAAAACTTTGTGGCTTTTTTTGGAACAGTCCGATTTCCAATGATAATATATTAAAGATTCATCTGCGCTTTTTACTAGATGGCGATTCCTTACTCTAGGGTTTTTTTGTAGAGGTGTCAGAGTAAAGGGGACTGAATAAAAATGTGTTCTACTATTTTTATTTTATGAATGCATTCAGAAAAACCACCAATTTTAATGTTCATGTTATTAATTATGGTCTATCAATCCCAAAAGAATATGTTGAAGTTTATATTTGTGATGTCGCAAAATCTAAGCTGGTTAAAGGATGTGAATAGTTTTTCAAAAGCATTGTAAAAGAAAAAAAATGTCGGTTTGCATCTGATTTAATGACTTCTTGTTTCCAGGGAGAACCTTAACCATTGGGAGCAGATATCACGAGGAGAGGAGGAAGACATTCTGCCCATTCGGCCCTGTGATTCAGGCCCCGTTAAGGTGGATAACTGACTACCAAAGGGGTCTCTGACCCAACAAAGAAATAAACAAACTAAATCCTGCCACGGACCTGGACATTTGACGGCGGGGGGTGAGGGGGGTTGTTGGAGGGGCAGGCGGGGAAGAACCACATCCTGTGTCAGCAGGAGTTTGACTCGTTTAAAGCGGCTTGACTCTGAATAACACACAGTTACCTCATTGGGTGACGGAGGAGTCCACACTGACGGTTTCACCGATCCCAGAGACTGACAGACGTCCGTCGGGGGAGGGATTTCAGCCCATCGCCCCGCATCTTCTCAGCTGGGGAAGTTTTATTTGATAGAATGGTCTTGAGTCTTTTCCTGTATTATATTTGGATTTTTTTTGTATTATTTTAATTATTTTTGCCTATTTTTTGTCATTTTACTTCATTTGAAATGATTCTGTTATGGTCTTGTTTTTGAAGAGGCCTTACTCTAGCCCCTAAACAGGCTAGGATATGTGAATTTTCCTTTCAGTTCAGGCTCTTTTGAAATGGTACTCTTTGCCTTCTGTGTTGAGTTTATTGCACTCGCACTACTTTAGCAAGAGATTCCCAGAGACAGAAGGAATGTGTAGAGCAGATATCTGGTATAGCAACATCTTACTGAAAAGGCGGAGATTAGAATGTGTTTGCAATTACTCTTACTTTTTTTGTTCTTTTGGTTAAGATCCTTTGCAGTACTTGAATATCTAAGCATATTCTATGTGGAGATTGTAGAAATTCTCTAGAAATATGGATGATTTGGGATCAGTCATAAGAGAGTCACATTGTTTAAAGTGTGAGGTGGTCCCTGCAGCTCCTCAGCCCTGAGCACTTAGAAACCAGCTGCACCAACATCCCTCTGATCGCCGGGATCCATACCCCACCCCTTTATTTTAAGCCAAGACTGCATTATCCACGATCGACACTCGCATTTCCCTTTCATTTATTGCATCATCAATAATACTTGTGTTCAAAGTAATAGCAGCATGTTTTAAAAATGGGCAAAGCTCAGATAAGAGTTTTTTTTGGAACATGGCACGTTTTATTCCAAATCAACACGTGAATAAAGAAAGCACAAAATTCGGTTGTGAACAGAAAGAGAGGAAAAAGAGAAGATTAGCTGTTCAAAAACAGTAAGTAACAGCGTCTTTCTTTTCAAACTCAAATTGTCTCAAAAAACGGCTTCTTATCTCTGTTAAATGGAGTCGACCCGACTTCTGCCAACTGTAAACAATTGGGCTTAAAAGGCACTTTATCTAGTAGGTTTGGAATCACAATACTGAACAGTTACTGGTAGTGTTGTTTTAACTATTTAGTCCTTGGATTGATTTTCATAACAAACAACAACAAAAAAAGATTCTGTAAATTAAATATTGTTAAGTTTAATGTAGTCATTGCAATAGATTTAAATCCAGGTGTTTATATGAAAATTAGAGATATCAAGCCTAATTTGGCACAAATATGACTGACAGATGGCAGCAAAGAGATATAAAGGAATAAAAGTAGAATATGCATCAACAGGCCTCAGTGTTTTATATAAGCCCCTTTGGTTGTGTGGTGTTTTCAGGTGGAAAAAAAAAAGATTTCTTACCAACAAACTCTTCTTAGTCTTCAGACTCCAAAACAACCTCAGATTAATTAATTTTTAAATATCTACTCCATGTTTCTTAGGGGCAGTTGGTGTTTGATAAGCTTTAATCACTCCACCCTAACCCTTGATGAAAGAAAAAACCCTTTAACAGCTGCAGTTCTTAGAGAGTGTCTTATTTAGTGAGTTTTTTTCGATTTTGGTCATTACTGGATCAATTGGAATAGCAGTGCTCCAATTTCTGCCATTTGTTTGTAGCTTTCATTTTAAAACTTAAACTGAACATCATTTCCATTTGAATCTATTGAGTTACACTCTAAATAGGATTACACTATTACCAGAGTGAGCAACATTTGACTGCCTTCCTTTTCAGGAAATGTTTTTTACCTGTTTTTGTACAGAATCAATGATCTTAGTTCTGTTAGTCTTCTGCTTCTCTACTTCACCAACAAGTAAACTGTGGATAGATTTCCTAAAGTGATAACGGACTGCTGCTATTTTGAACACAGCTATATTTCACCCCACTAAGCACATAAACCGACCTTACATTTGTTGAAGCTGACATGCAGGAATAACAACAAATAATAATGAACACCATTCAAGGTTTCCTATGATTTCAACCTATTTAAATCATGTCTCTGGGATTTTACCTAAGGAGTGTTCCTTTTTTTGCCACTGTGTGACACATGGGCTGTAGTTTTAAAAAAAAAACCTTTTTTTTTCCTAAATCAAACTAAGAAGATAAGATCGGACTCTTTTTAATAAGTTTCCAAGATCTTCCAAAAAGACAAACTGTTTTGTCCTCATCTATTTTTTCAAACTCAAGTCTCTGCTCAACTGTTGTAGTGTGTTTGTTTTATGGTTATTGTATGGCTGGTACTGTACCCCCCCCAAACACCCACCCACCGCCCCCACGAGTGTTGTGAATGCATCACATTTATGAATGTTTTCATTGGTTGCAGATTCCTGCTGGAGCTGCGTTTATGTGCATCATCAGTTCCATCTTCTATGTGCTCGGTCTTACTGTCTTTTCAGAGTTGCTTCCAGTAAGCTTCAACCTAAGAGCAACAATTAGCATGCACCTTACATATATTTATATGTAACTTAACTATTTCTCTATCTATCTATATATTTATAGATATATATATATATGTAGATACATAGAGATAGTTTTGTAGGTATATACATATAGATATGTACGTATGTATAGAGAGAGTGGGTGAGAGTTTGCATTTGCAGAAAAAGGTGAGTAGTGTGTACAAACGAGGAAGAGATGAATGCCTTGATGGTGCTAAATGGAACGGCAATTGTGCACTTTCTCACTAGGTTTGTGGAACTGCGTGTGTGGACGCCTTCCTCTTTAAATCACTCCAACCCCACCAGACAACATTGTTGTAAAGTCGCTGCACTGTCCCTCCTCCTTTTCAGCACCAGTTATATCCCATTGTCTGCACTATGTTTAGCTTATGATCTTTATCATCATCATTATTATCATTACTGTTTTTATTTTCTTAGAGTTAAATTTAAATTAACTTATATTTTTTATACAAAGAAGAATAATGTTTGCCTTTTTTCTGTTTTGTACAAAGTAAACATTAAGATAAATTAAACAGTCTAGACATGTTACTGTTACCAAGAATAACTGAGGAATGTCTCAACTGTAAATGTAAGAGCCGTAGCCCAAATGACTTTTATTAAATACATCTTTGAAAAAAAAATGTTGTCTGTGCCAAATTATTCTTTCCCTTTTATTCTCACAGCATATTTTTCTTAATGACTGAACTGTAAATTAAGAAAATATGTAAAATGTCTAACCCCAAGTGAGCCATGTCGTTTTATTTGCTGTAATTGGATCCATTTGTCAAATTTATTTTTTTCTAAATAATGTTTTACATTCTTTTAAAAGGGTAATTTGCATTTTTTTGGTCTTTTTAAGGTTGGTTAATACATTACTAATCAATCAATCATCTTAAAATGTAAAAAAAAATAAAATAACAGCACAAGTTTAAACCTAAAAAACATGGCTGCCCAGCCTTCGCTGACAGGTAAGAGAGAAAGAGAAAAACCAGAGGTCACATTTCCACAGCTCAGGTCTCAAAAGATAAAAAAAAAATTCTCTGTCTGTTGCAGACACAACAGCATATCTGACATTGACTCTAATTTTGGTGACATACAGTCTAGTTTTATTTCATTGACCGCTTTCTAGTAGCATCTAATAGCTCAAGTTATTCGCTTTAAGAACCATATTCACAGATTTAATTTGTAGTTTTATTATTTTCTTAAATATCATAGTAACAGCAATTTCTAAAGGATGCCTAAAACTTATCCTTATTAACCAGGCCATCTAAAGTATCCTACTTGATCTAATCTTTATTTCTAACTTTGTTTTTATTTCAGTTAATCTGCAAGTTCTGCATATATGGTGCAATAAATAGAGAATAAAAAAATAAATGTCATCTGACCTGCAGTGAAAATTGAACCTTTTATATGTTTTCAGCAACAACAATTCAAATGCAGTGGATCTTGATTAGTTCTTTATTTACACTAAATGATTTAGATGATAGAAGAAAGCAAAGCGTGTGCATACCGTGTCATTCTTTGCACTAGAGCAGAACATGTCACTCTGCTCTTCGTGTTCAGCCTTTACCATCTGCTTTCCTATTCTGGTCACTCCAGGCCCTGAGGCCTTTTTTTCTTTCTTTCTTCTCCTCCCTCCCTTTTCCCAACTTTCTGCAACCTCATAGTCTTACACACAGAAACACACTGTTCATAAAAGAAAAAACAAGAAAAAATTTTTTAGAGGGGATATTCATGAAAATTACATTTCCACTGTAAGCACAATTTGCAGAGTTTGTCTGGAAGTTGTTGAGGTTTAACAGCTTGAAGGAAACAGTCAAACGGAATGAACAAGGAAAGGATATTTGACGGTCACAGCGTCTGTGTTTGGGAGATTACAAAGAATACTGGTGGTCTATGCAGCTACTACTAGTAGTTCATGATTTAACATCAAGACAGAGCAACAGCTAAACCAGAAACACTTGGGATTTAAGCTGGTTTAGAGTTTTGATTCTAGATATATCCTAAATGTTTGCTTAACCATACATCAAATTATTGCTAAATATATATAAAATTAAATAAATACTATACAGCTGACTAGTTGTGGTTACAGTATAGAGAAAATGTATGTATAACTAATCTGAAGAAAGTAGAAAACATATCTACCTAAAAGTTATCTTTACTACATAAAAACCTTAATATAATTATAATATGAATGCTGGAATGTTCTTTTTGCATTTTTTATGTGGGGATTCGAAGCCCTACTTAAGGGGTTAAAAACTGTCCACTGATAAGTAATTAATGCTACTGCGTTGACAGCTGTAAACATGTGCAAACATTGTAACAGAAGAAATTCCTTTGTACAACAATTGCCAGGACAGTGAACGCAACACGGCCATGACGTCTTTTTGGTAGCCAGGCAACCACTGTAAATAAAACACCACT